TCTCGGACGCACAAAAAATGGGATCAGCAATCAAAAAATTCAATCAAAAAATACCCGATCTGATCATGAATTGTTTTCGCAAAATATCCGCCATCATGTCATTTTGGCTGAAATATTACATCCATCTAACAAATCCTCAAATACCAAAATAACAAAGTGTTTGTTTCAAATCAACTGAACTGATAAATCTGTGACGTCAAATGGTCATTGCCCTCGTGCCTTGCGTAAAAAAAAACATTATTTCAAAGTTTTTTTTGGAAGTGATATCTGGTGAAATCTGATTGGAACAAAAAATTTATCTTTATATTCCTGATAAATCATCTTAAGATGATTAATTTTAGAAGTTGGAATATAATTTAGAGATATACAGTGTCAAATGAATATTTTGTGGGAATTTAAGACCACAATGGCATGTACGATAAGTTATCACGCTGTTGTTTAAATGTCACATACGGGTACGAGGTCAAAACAAATTTTCAACATGACACAAATACTGTTTTTGACTATTTTTTTTGGAAAGTCTTGACTTCAAATTACACTTCGCCGTCGTAATTTGTATATTTTGACAACCGGAGCGGAAAAATTTAAACTCTTAAGCCCCAAACAAAAATGTATCACAGAAAAAATACAATAAAGACCATTTCCAACTAAATTTTTTAAATTTCATTTGCGGTTGGGTTATACATATTTTTTCAAAGAGTGCATTGCATGTCTTTTTTGGATTATTATTCAAAAAAATCTATGCGTTTGCTTAGAAACATAAGCGAAATATTTACAATTTGTTATGTTCCCGAAGTATTAATGATAAAAAAGAACGCAGCAAATGAAAAAAAAATGAGCCCTCAAAAAACGAAGAGAACAGTTTTTCTCTAAAAACAATTTGATTGCCGCGGAGGAAACTCGAGGAAATTGAATTCTCCTGAATGATTCTCTTATGAATTATAATCAGCTCGGACGCTCAAAATGACCTGAGCAAGTTAGCCATTTTTTCATGAATATGCAAATCTTTGCCTTCTCTACCAGAGCAAAAAATTTTATCCATTAAAAAGATTTTTTCTAAGTACCGAAAAATCTCGTTTTAAAGGCTTTGAAAAAATGATTAGCAAACAGATTTCGTTTAAATAAAAAGATTAGACAAAATATGCCAGCGTAATCCTACAAAATACTCATTTCAAAGTAGCCTTTTAAAAAATCTGCTGTAAATAAACATTCAATGGCAATGTTCATTTTAGGGAGAGCGTTTCATAATTCACGCGCAGTTTCGTTTGGACTGCTTGACTGAGGAAATAAAAGCTTCTGACAAGTTAACAAAAAATCAAACGTTATATCCATTACAGCTGAAGTTCTTATGCAGCTTACTACAGAAAAAAAACCAAGCCAATATTTATCTACTTCATTTACTTCGAGATATTTCCTTATAAATTACTTATGCAACTGAAAAATTTGTGTAATTCTTGTTGAGATACAAATATTTGGAATAGATATGGTAACAAAAAAGTTTTTACAGCAAAACAACAAACGCGGCGTTACAGTTCTTATCAATTTTTTCGGTAAGTTTTTTCACGCTGTCGCTTAGAAGATTTTGAATATGCGTATATTACCATTCTTTATCTAAGCATAAACGAACAATGATAACTTCGAAAAAGGTGTTCAATATCTTTGATTGTTAAATTACAAAACGATCGGCCCCTTTTTACTTTAATTACTTATGTCTTTTTACCGGCAGAAGCATTTAAAGGTCATTGAAATCATTTTACATCAAAGGTTTTCTCTTTTATGACTTTAGCTTACAGACTGTTTGTGGCCAGATACACAAAAAAAATCATCAGGTTAGTAAATCTTGCTTTTGCGACAAAAATCGACTTCAAAAAACCATGCAAAATAGTCCACATCCTTGAAACTTTAATTTCTCAATCATCCGCCGGGTTTTTGTTTTGACCATTGAAAATGGGGATGAACCTTTTATTCGGGTGTTTAAATTTTTTTTAATTTTTTTTTCAATGCAAAATCAGGTACCACAAACAATCATCGGAATGGGTCAAGTGATATGTAAGTTATGTAAGCTTAATTTAAGCTGTGAAAACTCAATTTTACTCAAAAAAAGGTTTTGTTGTTTTTAGCGCAATTTTGGGAATCAAAAACTTGAAAATTCAAAAAGTTTCAGGAAAAAATTTTGAAAAAATTTATGAAACTTTTTCAATTTTTTTTGATTTTTCTAGTCCTTTTTCTTCAAAAACTGTTTCCAATTGACTTATTTTACTAGGATTCTCAAATATGCCTAAGTTGTATGTTTTTATTCAGATCTTTTTATCACAACATTCAGAAAAAACGACACCAATTTGAAAAAAAATTCTCTGCGGACGGAACATTCTCTGCTACATTAAAGTAACCGGATATCCTTGTTTTGTATTTCTAATCAAATAGTATGCTTTTTTAAAACTATTTTTTAGGAAAACGCATTGCGCGTAGAAAAAAAATTTTGTCATCGAAGTATTTCGAAAAGACAGAACCCTCAAAAAACGAAGAGAACAATTGTTCTCACAAAAACTGGTTGCGGTTAATTTTTTCGGAATAATTTTATGACTTTAGAGCAGAAGCACAAAATGACTTGAAGAAGCTAGTTTATTAGACCCAAAGAAATCTTTAGATATAGAAATTTTAAATACCTTTACATATAGAGCTATGGGAATCCTTGGAAAACGTTATATATCAACAAAAAAAAAGTTTTTCAGTTTACCAAAATTTCATTTTTAAAAGTTTTGAAATGATTAGCGAAAAAGTTTTAACATTTTATTACTTTTTATGGTTACTTTTTACGTTCTAGTTTAAAAAAGTTACTTCAATCATCCGGAGCAGCAGTTGGAATGCTAGTTATACCATTCCATAAAAATTGAATATTTTTGAGCACATTTTGCCACCAAAAAATTATGATTTTAAACATGAATTTTGAAAAAAAAATCTTATTTGAATGTAAAAGGACTGTTTCGTCGAAACAATGAAAAGAATCTTCGCTTTTGAGAGGCTTAGTTTTGGAAACTTGCAAAATATTGAAAGACGAGTTAAAAAAAACAAAAACTGCAGCTCTGACTTTGACAGAAAAGCGTCATTAGCAAAATTAAATTAAATGAAATTAACTTGAAAATGTTTTGAGACGCCCTTCCTCCGAGAAATCCTTAAATCAACCGTAATCAATATTATTTTAAGAATTTGTTGTCAAATATGGAAACTCAATAACAGTCTTTACAATTTTTGGGAGATAAGTTTTGTAACGCTAGAGTTAATCCAAACAAATCGTGTTTAATTTATTTCTCAAGGTCGGCTGAGATAGAAGCAACCCAACCCCTCTCGCGACAAAGCTCGCCGCTGAATCAGTGCTCCAGAGCTAATTGAAATTCCAAGTTATCATTTCGAAAGAGGCGTTTACAATGATATCGAGATATGTAAGCTGCAGGCTATGCAAATTTGACACATTTCTTACGCCAGATGAAACTTCTGACATCTGGTGTTTTAATGCTCTTTGTCGATGATGAAAATACGAGTTTTTTACCCCCGGTTATGAAATATTTTAGTTGATTGCCCAAAAAGCATTGGTTTCTCCCACCTATATTTCCTGTTTTTCAAAAGTGAGAACAAGAAACCTTTTTTTAATCTGAAAACAGCAAATTTTGTCTGATTTTTATTGTGTTGTCAGCGCTGAAAATGAAGAGTTGCCGTTTTTTTCCATTTACCTAATTGAAAATTCCTTTCAAGAAGTCCTTTAGCATAAGGTTGCTAAGTTCCTGCTTCTAGCTGTTTAATTATGCCATGTATCACTAATATCAAGCCTTCCTCTTCATTTTCTGTCCGTCATATTCCGATATTTTCCACCCTGAAATTTAATCAGCTTAGCTGAAGATGTGATTACCCCTTGCGTTTTGCGCCATTTTGCCGCTACTTTTTCGCAGTTATTTTCATAATTCGAAATTTCCCCCAAAGTTTAGTAATGGGCTGAGCACTACACGCAGCCCCTGCAGTTCACGCTGAGTCTTCGTTGTTTTGTTGTGCAACATTCTTCAATTTACAGCTCGGTAAACTAATTTAACAAATTGATCAGGGAAATGATAAAAAAAGAGAGAACATTTTGGGACGAAGGTAAAATTTGGCTGCTGCTGTTTTTTTCTTATTGATTCTGTTTGATCGATTCGGTGTTCCCTAAGTAATTAGCCTTGACGCGCTAAGGACGAAAATTTCTTGAAGGGTACCGGGCCATAATTGACTAGGGATTTGGGTCTTTTGTTTTTTCTCTTTTTCTCACTGCGTGAAAACAAATCAACTTGGTTCAAAGAGAGCTATAGCAAGTGTTTGAGTACTGGCTAGAATCAATTTCTTTTTCTCTTCCTATTTTGCCAATTGAAGCCATTGCAAAAAAAAAAACCAACCCATTCAGAAGAATTTTAACCCAAAGATATCAACGATCAAAAGTGCTTTTTTGGTTTGTAAGTGTTTTTATATATCTTTTTTAATTTCACCTTTTTAGGTCCTGGAATTTCGCAATCTGTTACTGAAAAAATACCCTTCTATTCTTGAAAGTTTTATTCTCATTCCAATCACTTTTTTTGCTGCCTCCAAAGTCAATTGGTATCAAACGCGTTGACCTTTGCTTGCAATTGCTAACCAGCATTAACAAACCGATATACCGAATCAGAAAATCAAAAAAAAATTTTTGTCCTTTTCTCAGACTTTGATTTAACAATAGGATTTTACATTGCACTAAATTATGATTTCATACTTGTAAAAGAATTTCAACTGGATTTCGGTCGGTTGACTTTTCCAAAGACGCATAATTCTTTCATCCGTTTTTATATTATTCACCTTATGGTCTTTTCTGTATTTATAAAACGCCCCTTATAGGACTTTCGGAAACTCAACCCGAAAATGTGTAAATTGCATAAGGAAAAATATATATTTAATGTATAGACTTCTGATATTTTTTCACTGTGTAGTGTTGCCTGTTGCAACTACTTTGCTGCAAAAACAAATTTAATGTTTGCCTTTGAGTACTTCTTGAAATTTTGCTAAATTGGGTCTTCTACGGTCCCATTTTAACTACCTCCATTCACAAAATTCTGCTCAAATTACGCAAACCAAATGCAGTTTATATTTTCTGACAATTTCCACCTCTTTTTATTTCGTTCATTTCGCCCCTTTTTTAATTTTTATTTTTCGCCCATTCTTATCCAGCTCATAGAAGGAAATTTGATAATGAAGATACACTAATGGTCCGCTACTTATTCCTGGGCAGGCTTAATTATCTATTTCGCTTTAGACTTTAATCGATCTCACTAATTTTAACGGAGGCGTTTCCTCTTTGGCTAATGCAAATAACAAAAAAACTTCAAGAATTTATAGGCTCCAATATCAACGGATAATTTACACTTTCTTTCAAAATCGTTCCAGCCAATTTTAAGACCACTCTGTATTAGTTCAAATATCGTATTCTCAGTTTTTTATACAGTCATCGTCGTAGTTTATGTGAATATTAATTATTTTTTTTTCATCCACAGAAAGACCATTTGTTTCATCTTGGGTGGATTAAAACGTCATTTATCAATTTGACTCGGCTGTCATCAGGACACTATTAGAAAGTTCATTTGAATAGACTTTCTTTCTGGTATTTACCACGGTATCTGAAATTTAAATTCTCAGTTCGACTCTCTAAATAACAGTTTCTGGCATGAAGTTTCCCGCAGGATCGCTTCTGAACAAATAATCAAGGACAATAGATCATTATGAAGAAGGAAATAATTCCCTTGTAAGTTCAAGTTTTTCTTTCACCGCAGAGTTACCACATCAAAAATGTTTGCTCAGAAAAAATTCGATGTTAAAATGAGGCTAAATTTTTTTCAAATGGAGGCAAGACATTTCCTAGAGACAAAGCTATAATAAAGGGTTACTAGCACAGAACCCTGGTCGATGTGCTCACTTTATGTTTCGACCGTCTCGGCCAAAAATAGTTATGTTTCGACCATCTCGACCAAAATTTGGTATGTTTCGACCGAGCTTGACCAAAATTTGGTATGGTTCGACCGAGCTCGACCAAAATTTGGTATGATTCGACCGAGCTTGACCAAAATTTGGTATGATTCGACCGAGCTCGACCAAAATTTGGTATGTTTCGACCGAGCTTGACCAAAATTTGGTATGTTTCGACCGAGCTTGACCAAAATTTGGTATGTTTCGACCGAGCTTGACTAAAATTTGGTATGGTTCGATCGAGCTCGACCAAAATTTGGTATGATTCGACCGAGCTTGACCAAAATTTGAGATGATTCGACCGAGCTCGACCATAATTTGGTATGTTTCGACCGAGCTTGACCAAAAGTTGGTATGGTTCGACCGAGCTTGACCAAAATTTGGTATGGTTCGACCGAGCTCGACTAAAATTTGGTATGATTCGACCGAGCTCGACCAAAATTTGGTATGATTCGACCAAGCTCGACCAAAATTTGGTATGTTTTGACCGAGCTTGACCAAAATTTGGTACGTTTCAACCGAGCTCGACCAAAATTTGGTATGATTCGACCGAGCTCGACCAAAATTTGGTATGGTTCGACCGAGGTCGACCAAAATTTGGTATGATTCGACCAAGTTTGACCAAAATTTGGTATGGTTCGACCAAGCTAGACCAAAATTTGGTATGATTCGACCGAGCTCGACCAAAATTTGGTATGTTTCGACCGAGCTTGACCAAAATTTGGTATGGTTCGACCAAGCTTGACCAAAACTTGGTATGGTTCGACCGAGCTCGACCAAAATTTGGTATGATTCGACCGAGCTCGACCAAAATTTGGTATGATTCGACCAAGCTCGACCAAAATTTGGTATGTTTCGACCGAGCGTGACCAAAATTTGGTATGATTCGACCGAGCTCGACCAAAATTTGGTATGTTTCGACGGAGCTCGACCAAAATTTGGTATGATTCGACCGAGTTCGACCAAAATTTGGTATGATTTGACCAAGCTTGACCAAAATTTGGTATGTTTCGACCGAGCTTGACCAAAATTTGGTATGATTCGACCGAGCTCGACCAAAATTTGGTATGTTTCGACGGAGCTCGACCAAAATTTGGTATGATTCGACCGAGTTCGACCAAAATTTGGTATGATTCGACCGAGCCCGACCAAAATTTGGTATGTTTCGACCGAGCTTGACCAACATTTGGTATGGTTCGACCGAGCTTGACCAAAATTTGGTATGGTTCGACCGAGCTCGAGCAAAATTTGGTATGATTCGACCGAGCTCGACCAAAATTTGGTATGATTCGACCGAGCTCGACCAAAGTTTGGTATGTTTCGACCGAGCTTGACCAAAATTTGGTATGTTTCGACCGAGCTCGACCAAAATTTGGTATGTTTCGACCGAGCTCGACCAAAATTGGGTATGGTTCGACCGAGCCCGACCAAAATTTGGTATGTTTCGACCGAGCTTGACCAAAATTTGGTATGTTTCGACCGAGCTCGACCAAAATTTGGTATGATTCGACCGAGCTCGACCATAATTTGGTATGGTTCGACCGAGCTCGACCAAAATTTGGTATGATTCGACCGAGCTCGAGCAAAATTTGGTATGATTCGACCGAGCTCGACCAAAATTTGGTATGATTCGACCGAGCTCGACCAAAGTTTGGTATGTTTCGACCGAGCTTGACCAAAATTTGGTATGTTTCGACCGAGCTCGACCAAAATTTGGTATGTTTCGACCGAGCTCGACCAAAATTGGGTATGGTTCGACCGAGCCCGACCAAAATTTGGTATGTTTCGACCGAGCTTGACCGAAATTTGGTATGGTTCGACCAAAACAAATGTGCTCGACCCAAAAATGATAAGTTTCGACCTTGCTTAGACATGTTCAACTCCACTTAGATATGTTTCGACCATCTCGACCGAAATTCGGTACGTTTCGACCGAGCTCGACCAACATTTGGTATGGTTTGACCGAGCTCGATCGAAACAAATGTGATCGACTAAGCTCGACCCCAAAAAAATATGTTTCGACCTTGCTTAGACATGTTCAACTCCACTTAGATATGTTTCGACCATGCTCGACCGAGTTCGGGTATGTTTCGACTTTCAAACAACATGAGTTATCCAAAATTTGTAAATTTCTAATTGTTATGGTCCTTTTCGGGTAAAAACTTATGATGTTTTTTATGAACAAAATGATTTGAGTTATTTCCAATTAAAATGTTTTGTAGAAAGTAGCTATTTTTGACTTTTTTTCCCATCTTTTGGATTATTGTTTTGTAATTTGAGTCGAAATGTTAGAAACTTGTTGATATTTGATAAAACTATTTATGTTGTACTCGGTATTTTTCGATTGTGCTCGAGTTATGTTTCGACCGTGCTCGAGATATGTTTTGACCGTGCTCGAGGTATGTTTCGATCGTGCTCCAGGGATGTTTGGACCATGCTCGAGTTTTGTTTCGACCGTGCTTGAGGTATGTTTTGACTTTGGGCCCGATTCACACCCTGTCTCCACTATTCATTTCCCGTCAAGTGCTCGTCTTTGAAAGTCAAAACATAAATTGACCCGGGAAATTTCGGCTCTCTAAATAATATTTGTTCTTTTCGGCTTTTTAGATTTTTCATCAAGCTGTTTTCGACCGAATTTCTATATAAATTCCAATAAGCTGAGGTTTTGATCTCAAAGTTTAAAAAAATTTGCCTCTTTTTTTCTGCCTCTTTTTCTACCTTTTTTCCTCAAAAGTGATAAATATTGTGGGGCGCATTTTCGATACTTATTGAAATTTGTATACCAGTTTTTATTACCGCGAGGAAAATTAAATCATTCAAATTTGAATGGAACAAGTTTAAATGATACAATTGGTACTTTTTATTTAATATTATGTAAGGAGGAACGAACAAAAGCAAAACTGAGGCAAGACGTTTCCGCTTATTTGACAAGAAATTACAGCACAAAAACTAGCATAATTTTTTATTCAATAATTGTGAACATAGTGATTTAATACCGGCCTCTAATTTCTACATATTCAAAGTTCAGAATACTTCAAACTGCCTTTGCATAGTATTTGACTATATAACTTGTCCTCAACGAAAGAATACCCAAAACAAAGTATCTAAATGTATTAAAGTCCTGGAACTGACATAATTGACCTAATATAGATACATAATTCATTTTTCAGGTTACTTGAATTCTTGTTGCAGGCAGTTATGTTTTTCTTTCTCTACTTTGCAACGCTTCGATCGACGATAACTTCTAAAGAACTTTCACTTTCCTTTTTCCATAAATTGGTTTTTTCTTTCAAAAGTGGTACGACTGATCAATTTTTTTTCGTTTTTATGGGCATACTGACTAATTGGTCAAAATAGATTAGTTGAAGCGGCTACTCAAATGTTTTAACAATTATCAAATTTCAATTAATCCAAGCAGGGGCGGATCTAGAATTTTCTTGCGGGGGGCGGCGGATTTTCAAAAAATTTTTGAAAAATTTGTCGACCTTTTTTTTAGGTCGACCAAATTGATTTTTCGAGCTCTCCCAAAGCACTGTTTTGTCTCTATTTTGGCCAAATTTTCTGCGCCGCAGGCAAAATTTTGAAAAAATAGGTCAAAAAAGGCGTTTTTAGGAACTTTTTGGAAAATTTTGGCCGAAAAATTGTGTTTTTTCGACGCGCGCTTCCTCCTCAAAATTAGTATATATTGGCGCCAAAGGCGCCTTTAGAAAAACTTTAAGATTGGTCGGCCAAAACTCGATTTCTTAAAAGTATCAAAGGGGGACCCTTTGGGTCGGCAGGGGATCGAATCCCTGAAGGAGGGGGCATCCGCAAATAGGGGGCATCCGCAGGGGGGGGGCATCCGCAGGGGGGGGGCATCCACAGGAGGGGCATCCGCAGGGGGTCGAATCCCTGAAGGAGGGGGCATCCGGGGCATGATAATTCAAACAAGACCTCAGGCATCAGAGCAAGTGCTTGACGGTTCCAAAGCCATTTAATGGCAGCTAATTTGCTTTCAATTTCAAAAGATTGATTAAATTTTGATTTTTTTTTCAGACTCGTTCAAAGTTACGGCCATTTGCTACGTATAATCATGTGTTGAGCGCCTAAAAAGTTTTTTGTTAGGACCACAAAGCTGATCTAAATTTGGCTTGAAGCTTTTTCTGAGCCGTATTAACTCTCTACTTACTCATTAATAGCACTAAATATCCCGAGTTAACAGTTTTCAAGCCCTGTGGTTTTACGAAAATGACTTCAAGTTAAATATTTTATTGAACTCATGACATTCATATTTTTTATGTTGAGCATCGGGCAAATTAAAAACATCGGGCAAATTCAAAACTGGTCGGATGAAAGCTCATCAAAAGTAACTAGTTGCTGTTAGAGTTTTCTTTTTAATGTTGAAACAAAAACAACATCTTCAACTTTCAAACTGGTTTTGTCTAAATTTATCTAGCAGCTGGTTTCAAATTTATTTATTAAAGCAATTTTGTTATATCTAATAAACTAATCATGTCTGAAAACAAAAATTTACTGAGCTAAAAAAATTTGGGTAGTCAAGCAGTCAAAATTTGCGTCTCCCTCTGTAAAACTGCTGGTTATTACTTGGACTATTTAATTTGTTGTGAAAAACTTGGGGGTAAAACATTTTTTAAAAAAAAAACTACTCGTATCTTCTCTTAATCAAAATAAGTTAATCTAAATGATATCATTGATAGATTTCGCGCGTTAATTTTCTCAAACTCGCCAAAACGTCAATCTTTAAACCCACATAACTTTATGAAAAACTAGTAAAGGTGA